TCTCTCTCTCTCTCTCTCTCTCTCACTCTCAAATGTTATTCTTCTATAAAATTTTGATTATTGCCTCGATAGTGACTCCAGATTTTATTAAAGTTGATGGAAATATTTTCGGCGCGTTATATTTACGTTTACATCAGCAACACCGAATTTAAAAACATTGCGATGCGATTAACAAATGCAATATATCGACAATCATTCGCTCGTTCTCACGCAAGAGATTTTTCACGATTATGAGAGAGAGAATGGCATTTTAAAAGAGCGACATTAAAAATATTTTTTTTACATTATAAAATAATCACCGTGTATAATTAATTATATACGATATAACAAATAAATTGTAATATAAATATAATTAAATAAATGATTAAATTATTCAAATGATTCAAATTATGTAAATAAATATTACAAATAATGTGGTCTGCTATATTTATATTACAAATTAAATTAATAATAATACTTAAAATGATTATTATGTACATCACAGGTACACTGGTACATATCGTCAGTCGTATAACAGAAATTTGAAAAGATAAAAACATTTGAAAGATGCTGCAAAAGCAGTGAATAAAAATGTCGTAGTCTTCCAAATATTTAGAAATCTGTTAAACTTTTGCCATACTATGTATGTTTGCTATGCAGTTAACTGCATGCTTCCGTTAACGTAAACAGAATCATTATATTGCGTATAAAAAATAGAATTATTGCACTTTTTAAAAAAAAAAAACAATAACGTCTATGATATAATTCGTAGCATTAATCGATTCTTATAACATTAAAAAGCTTGATTCATTCGCATAATAATTTCTAGCAAACTATTAAATAATTTAAGGATAAAGAGATTTATCCATCATATGATTATATAACATGTGCATTGATAAATATAAGATTATGTGATATGTACATTATATGCAATATATGTATAATTTTGATCATATGTATGTATACATATGTAGCTCAATATTAAATACATAATTATGATATACATTGAACAAAATTTTTATATATTCTTTTTTATAATTTTACAACTTTTCTTTGTAATCTTCTTAGTCTTGTAATAAGATCAACTTATTATAATAGATTATTAATAAATGCATTAGCGATTTTCCGTCATTAATGAATTTTAATGTAAAATCGTAAGATTTATTTTTTCTATAATGTCTTTAATTATTTTCATTTTCTATATTTAATGTGAAATAAGTATTAATTGATCAAAAAATTTGTTTACTTTTTCGCTTTTAAATCGATAAAATATAAGGAAGAAAACAAGTCTTTTGATCAACTTATTGTTAGTATTATAAATGTCAAAAACGGAAACATATTGTCATGAATAACGCTTTAAAGGTCATCATTTTCTCATGTTTGCCAGCATCGAAACCTTTCACGAGCCCCGGATCCCGACCGAGTTATCCGTCACCGCCTCGCGAAAGCGGCTTGTTACAATATGCACGCAGGTTTACAAGAAAAATCGTTTTTCGAAAAAACGGCAACGAGAAGAATCGACGCATCGAACAGAATCCGGCATCGGATAAAAATGTAACCGTATATATTGTATATAATCGAGAAATTACAAGCTCGTTCTCGAACGTGCTCGTAACGGCTCGGAGCTTGGGGTTCGGGCTCGGGAACATTCTCGAGCTCGAAGTTGCTCGGTGCAGCAATAGCGTCATTCTATTGATGCGGCATACATACGTACACATATACGCACGTACACACACACACTCGCCGACCCAGCTCGCTATAAATACCCGGCGTGCGCCGGCGTAGCAACAGTTGACAGAGAGCAATCGTGAATTCAATTGCGAGTTGTGCGAGAGCAAATTGAAGCTTCTAGACATTCTAGACTATCTCATCTGCCAATTTTATTCGAGATTTTTCGTTTGAATCGGAAGAAAAAGCAACTGCAGCTTCAACATGTCCCTGGTACCGTTGCTCTTCTCCGACTGGTGGGAGGACCTGGAATATCCTCATCGGCTTTCCGATCAACATTTTGGCCTTGGCATCCGCCCCGATCAACTGGCGAATCCAAACATTCTGGAACGATTCGCGCCGCAACGTGACCGACGTCTAAGAACGACACCTTTAATTTACTATCGACCCTGGGGCGAGTTGTTGCGCAATAGCAACGAAGGCGGCACGTCTACCGTAAAGGCCGACAAAGACAAATTCCAGGTAATTCTGGACGTACAGCAATTCAAGCCGGACGAGATCAATGTCAAGGTCGTGGACAAGTGCGTGATAGTCGAGGCCAAGCACGAGGAGAAGCAGGATGAGCATGGCTGGATCTCACGGCAGTTCGTACGCAAGTACATGATACCTGAACAATGTAACATTGACGAAGTGTCATCGAGCTTGTCGTCGGACGGCGTGCTGACCATCACCGCGCCCAGGAAGAACAAGCAGGAGGCAAACAACGAGCGCTCGATCAAGATCGAGCATACTGGCAAGCCGGCGATCCAGGAGAAGGCATCGGAGAAGAAGGAGCAGAAGAAGAAGGGTTAAAGATAGACATTTTATGAAAATATTCCTGTTATAATTCATATAATGTGTTGTGTATCTATGAAAGATCGTTCTTATGTGTACACTTTATGTTTGTGTGATTTAAATTTTATTTTTATTTTTTTGTTTGATATAAAGCATTGCTTAAAGCATTGACGTTTGCTTTTCTTTTCATTTTTATTTTTGTAAGATAACAAATTGATCGAATAAAAATAATTCAATTGAGCTTAATCGAGTGTGTATCCTATGCCATTCTCCAGTCCTACTTTCCTTAAGCAAGAATTTCACAGCGAAATTACATAATAATATTAAATCATAGATTAGGTTAGAGATTGAATTAGATATAGAGTAAGAATAAACAGAAAAATAAATATATTTAAAAAAATCAATTTTTTAGTCGTGCAAAAGTTTATTGATATATTGAATAATATGTACAATTGTGATGCGTTTATATGTACAGATTATTTCAATTTTGTTTACATTAAGAATTCACTAAGAGTGCACGTATATTTTACATAACTTTAAACTAATAATCTACATCCATGTCAATTAAACTTTCTTTCTAGATTTTGTTAGTTTTTGGTTCCCTGCGCGCGCTTTTAAAATAAAAAAAATATTTATATTTACAATACGGAAAAAATAATAGAAATAACGTAAAGATTAAATACAGAAGCATTATCTAAAATCTAAAAGGATATATACAGCCTCATATCATAGGGAATTCTTTAAAAGGAGATAATAACTTATTAAATATCTTTTTGATGCATGCAACTTTAAATGATCAAATGTTTAATTAAATGAAAGGATGCGACAAATATTTTGTCCCAATAGATATATGGATTTGTTTGTAGGTATTCAATCAATGTAGTTTCAATCCCTACCTAGCACCAATATAGATTTACCGATACTGCAAACGTATCGTAACAAGATAAGTAAGTTTACTACTTCGAACACATAAAAAAGATATCTGCATTATCGATGATAAATCTAGCAATTTTTACGCGGCAAAAGACAAACAAAATTTTTTCTTGATACTTTTTATAATTATAAATAATATTTTATCCATTTCTTATTATTCAATCGTCTTGTTATTTGAACATTTTAAAAAACAACAAAAAAAAATTAATTACGCGTCTATAATATTACTGTCCCTATTGATATAATTAAATATAATATACCCATCATTATTTTGTATTGAGTTTAATCAAGAAAAAAGTTTTTTGCACGCAAATTAAATGTCAAAGATGCAAATTGATAATATAAGCTTAGTTACAATTATGATTTCATTTTCTAATGCACGAAATAAGCATGTTTTCAAATGTCAAAGATGCAAATTGATAATATAAGCTTAGTTACAATTATGATTTCATTTTCTAATGCACGAAATAAGCATGTTTTCCATACGGATATGTAACTCGATCGTTATATATTGTAGATTATGTAATAATGAAATTTGTATATTGTAAAAACTTTATGTTTATTTCGTCACGTTTTTTATATACGCGTTTGATCCTTTAATGTAGAGAAATATTGCTACGTATTTGCAATTATCAATAAGTATCACTATATATACGTATCAGCGATGACAAGTCAAATGACGATTTTGTCCTATTCCTGAAATACGTAGCCGCGCGTAAGAACGTCTGCGTCGGCAGTTGCACGACAATCGGCAATCGGTCGAAAATAATAGGTAGGAGACGATGGTATGGGTGAGCACTTCTGGTCGAGTCGAACGTACAAGACACAGAGACAGTCCGGGGTCAGAGAAAGGGAATAGAGCGTGCTTATCGTGCATCGTCTCCAACTACCTCGCGGAATCTGCCTTCTCCTCTTGCTTCTCCTCGCCCATCATCACCCTCCTCCTTCATCTTTCCCTCTTTTTCTCTCCTCCTCGCTTCTCAACTTTCCTATACTGCAATTGCCTTAGCTGACGTTTGCGAAAAAAGCACGAGGACCCCTGTGTTGCGAGACTCGTATATATATGTATGAGCTCGAGCTATGTCGAACTTTGCTAATCTAGATGGAATACAAATATGCGATCGTCGTGTACCGTCAAAAAATGAGTATATTTTTACAAATGTTACAGCGCGCATATATTCGTGTCTCTCTATCTCTTTTTTTCAATTTTTGGCAAAATGTATTTTTCTCTGTTTTAGCTTCCACCTTCTGGACAGATAGAAGAACTTGTCGGAAGCACAGCCAGCCGTATACCTCCGAACATTTAAGCGCCAATGATGCTTCAAATGATGTCATAGAACCTTTGACGTAATCGCTTCCTTGACCGAGTGATTTTTGAGAGCTTCTGTCGGCACTTGTAATCGATTTTACCATCGTTTGTCAAGCCATCGATAACCACTACACTACGATATATCGTTAAATACGATGATGTGATAATCTCTTTAATCATCCTTTTTTTATACTTTTATACTTTTTTATTACCTAATAAAACCCCTAAATAATATCTAGTAATCTTCGTCTAGTTTTTTTATCTAATCAAAAAAATCAATTAATTAATTAATTAAGTTTTCTCACTTAACCGTTTTATTGACGAGAAAAATAATAAAATTACTTCAACATAGTTTCTTGCATCGTATTTTAATTTCAAATAAGTAAATTTTTTTATTGTTTCATATATATTATGATCATATATATCATATATATTCTTGTACTATTCTTGTACTCTTATACTATCTATACTAAATTATTTTGTAGACTACTATGCTATGCTATTATGTATATTATTGTAGAATATTAGAAAGCACGCATTACGCACAATACTTTGCACGACACTCCCTAATTCCGCTATCGCCAAACAATACGTCATTTCGTGATAGCGAAATGACAACAAGACAACCGCGTATCTCAACAATAATTTTTAGATAAAAAAACAGTAGCCAACTAACATGTGACAATTAATTTGTCGGCGTCTTAAAATATTCAACATTTTATAATACAAGCTGAATATTTTGTGTGCTCTTGCATTTCAAATTAAGTTCAACAATTGGGCTAATACCGCATAAAAAGTTTATTTAAAAAATATAATTTATCTTAATTTGATCGAAAAATTATTTGTGTAAATTAATTTAATATTATCATTTTAAGTCAATTTTTTATATTCCAAAAAGACATTTCTTTTTTTAAATTTGGGAACTCTTTTTTTAATTGCGGTTTATTAAATAATATATGGCGTAAGAAAATAAATAGAGCGTGTGCAGCGCGCTTTGTAATATTTTAGTGTATGTAAAAAATAAAAGTTATTTTGTAATTTTTGTACACATAAAATGATGATAACTGATGTTTGACTTGCTCAATTAAAGAATGTATGTGCTTGAAGTTTTTTTTTCTATTTTATATCGAAAACTCTTCAATTATATTAGCATTCTAGGACTAAACATAGATGCAGATATAGCGTAAGAACTGTTTTCATATACACATCGATATCTTAAGAAAATCTTCTCTTACTACCGTTCCCTCTACGCGTTCAACTTGCCTTTGTTACGCGAAAAAAAAATGATGCAGGTATTATTTACATGTCTTAAAACAAAGTCTTGTTGTCATGTGCAAGATATAACAGTGATGTCGATAGGATACAGTCGTCGCGAGAAGATAACAGAATGCGCCAGGAACCGAATTGCACAAGGAGCACGTCGAGTGTTGCGGCAATCTAGTATTCCCAGTGCTATTGCAGGGTCCAATGACCTGATCGTTGCGGTTCGGAAAATTTGTTTCCCCTTCTCCGTCCATGCTCCTTCGTCCATATTTATCAAGAAACAATTACTCATCAGGACATCAGCTACGATGTTAGTTTAAGAAAGTAATCGCACTTTGTTATAAATGGGATTTTAAATGTTGAACGTAAAAAGATAAAAGAAGATGTAAAAAACAAAATTGAATTTGAAATGATAGGAAAAATTCTCTGCAATCCTGCGAATCTTGGGACACTCGGAATATATGAACTACAGCTATGTATGAGAAGTTTAAAATGAGTATGCAAATTGAAAATAGAACACCGCTCTTGAGAGAACTTAATTAAAAGCGAAATAAAAGTATCGAAGATCGTGCAAAAATTACTTACTCACATCAAGATATCGGCGGAAGCTGTACTTTAAATATAATTAATTGCGACATCGCTAATGAGATTGCTTGTTAAATATGTATCTTTAAATTTTTTTTGTTTTTTGCGAATTCTCTTTTTCTACTTTTAATATTAATTAATTTTTCAATCTTAATCTAATTTTAAAAATCTGCATTTTTCTCGCAAATCTATCTCCTTTTTTACCTTTCATATGCCTTCTCCAACTATTTTGCACACATCGACACGTATGTATATTCTCTCGATAAGTGGCCACTCGACACTGTACGAGTGAGACGAACGTATCTTTCTATTCGTGGCACAATTTTCGGGGATCGATATATCGATCGCATACTAGTGTCTTCAAATAGCAGGGTAGTTAGCGTCTCTCTGTTAAAGTCTTTCAGAAGAACAGTGAAAATGAGAAATAAAGGAAAACATAATGCATATCTCTCTATATGTACAATTACTATCTTTTTTTGCAAACTTTTTTAAAATTTTATTATAACATATTCGAGAATAAATGTCTTAATATATTATATCTTTGTTGTATAATGCAATCTTGCTGCGCATCGGATATGATAATTCTTGACGAAAATGTTATATATGCACCCCTTTCAATCTTTAATATTATATATCTTAATAATAAGCATCTTAATAATTTATTCTATTTTAATTTAAAAAATTTCTTTTCCGATGAGCAAACTTTTTTATATGTATCTATGAGAGAGAGAGAGAGAGAGAGAGAGAGAGAGAGAGAGACAGAGACAGAGAGAACGTTGCATCGCAAAATATTAAAAACAAGATAAGAGAAAATAAGAAAAAATTAATAAATTTAAAAGAAATTCTAAAATTTAACCGGATAAAGACAGTGACAAAATTGTAAATGTGTTTGGCGTCTAAGCTATGCCAGAAAATTTGAAGTCTACAGATGTGACGATGACGACGCTGGTATGCCGCATTGGAGTTAAATTCAAGCGATGTAAACCAATGACACGGGCACATCTTACTCGGGGGATTACCACCACCTTTCTCCTTTTTCCTCTTGGCCGATCCAGCTTGCGATACTCCAGATTCTATCCACAGCCTGTCGTCATATACGTCATGGACGAGAGTTACCCCTTCTTTGCGCCAGTGCTTGTTCCCTCTGTGCCTCTGTTAAGTGGAGGAGAAGGAGTTGGGGTTGGTGGCGGGAAGGTATTGCCGCTGCTGGTCCACCACCACCCGGGACTACAACCACCACCTCCATCGTCGCCGTGGGGCTCGTGCCTATACGCAATTCTGCAGATTTGACAAAGTCGTTTCAAGAACTCAGTCGTCGCTTGCCTGTCCTCGTAAATTCGGGGTACCTATTAGGAAGCTTCAGCTTTCTCGTTCGCGCCGGATTCTCGCTTCCGGATTATCTCGAAAATCTCGCTTCTCCTCTTTTCTCTCTTTTCTTCTTTTAAAAGTGTGTGACTTGTCTTCTTCTTTTCTTTTCTTTTCTCTTTCTTTCTTTCTCTCTCTTTCTCTCTCTCTCCTTTCGATCATCGACTCAAAAATGCGTTAAAGCACGGCGGAAATACATTCATGGAGGAGATACACGGAGGCGAGATGTCTTCCGTGACGCTCTCATCCGTCTTGCTCCTTCTACTTTTCGGCCGCGCCGCGAATGCTCAGTAAGTAAACTGCGATTTGTGTTGTTATGTTTCAAAATTCATATTTTATGATCGATATGTCAAAACCAAAATTCCAAAACCGACTTTCTTCGGTGAACATTGTACTGCAATTCGGTTCTAAATTATAATCAGAAAGATTTTTAGAAATAATTAAAAGATTAACCGTAAGCGAAACTTATAAAAGAAATTGAAACTCTTATTGGTATATTAATTGATAAAAGTTTAATGCGTGTGTGTGTGTGTGTGTGTGTGTGTGTGTGTGTGTGTGTGTGTGTGTGTGTGTGTGTGTGTGTGTGTGTGTGTGTGTGTGTGTGTGTGTGTGTGTGTGTGTGTGTGTGTGTGTGTGTGTGTGTGTGTGTGTGTGTGTGTGTGTGTGTGTGTGTGTGTGTGTGTGTGTGTGTGTGTGTGTGTGTGTGTGTGTGTGTGTATGTAAGATATTCCCATTATATGAATCGCATATTCTTCTTTTTTTTTTGTTTTGCAGGAGAAGTTTAGAATTTTTCGATCTCCTGCCGGAAGATCCTAAGTTGTATGATAAAATGCGACCTCCCAAGAAAGATGGTCAGGCAACTGTTGTATATTTTCACGTTACTGTGATGGGACTCGATTCCATCGATGAAAATTCAATGGTAAATACGTAATTTTAGAGAGAAATGTGATTGACATGTATAATTATAAAACTTAATGTATATATAATGAATCCACACACAGTTGCTCGTTAATTCTTTTTAATTGCGATTGTGATTATCGCGATCGTAAGACAGATTATTTTTACAGACGTATGCCGCCGATATTTTTTTTGCCCAAACATGGAAAGACAATAGACTCCGACTGCCAGAAAATATGACATCCGAGTATAGGTATATAAATCATTATGTATATATCATTTTTTGAACAATTGTGGCATTTATGTATTTTGTATTTGCGTACATATTTTATTTAAATTTTTCTACAAATTTTTGAGTAACTGTTTTCAATTATACTCTCTTATTTTACTCTCTCTCTCTCTGTGATAAAATTTAAGATTATTAGAGGTCGATTGGCTGAAAAACATGTGGCGGCCGGATTCCTTCTTTAAGAACGCAAAATCGGTGACTTTTCAAACAATGACGATACCAAATCATTACCTGTGGCTGTATAAAGATAAAACTATACTTTACATGGTGAAGTGAGTTTATGATAAATTATATAAACGTTTTTACCGTGGATGCGTCTCGAAATAAAAAACTTGAAATATAAATATCGGCCATTTCAGGTTGACCTTAAAACTTTCTTGCGCCATGAATTTTCTGATCTATCCTCACGATACACAAGAATGTAAATTGCAAATGGAAAGTCGTAAGTTATAATTATTTATGAAAACAATTAATTTTTCTTTATCTTCATCAAATATAGCACATATACATATACTTTGATTATGATTGGAGTACATATATTATTGTTATGTGTTATTATTTATGTTCCATAATTATTTTAATAATTAATTTTCTCTATTCAAACGAATATTTAAAAAAAAAGATACACATAATTATATATGAAAAAGTGATGTTTTTAAACGGATATAATGTGCGAATAAACTATATGTTAGTGATGTGATGTAATGTATTAAATGCCACGCTATATTTCACGTTAAAACGCGACAATTCGGTCAACAGTATCACACACGACGGATGAAATGATCTTTCAATGGGATCCTGATGTTCCCCTTGTTGTGGATGAGAATATCGAATTACCCCAGTTACAGCTCGTTAAAAATTACACAGCTGATTGCACACAAGTCTATTCCACTGGTAAGTGAATCACGTAAATGATTATTTTCACCTCAAGAATACATATCATATTTGATATCTTCGTAAAATCACAGACGCTTTACATATCAAAGTATGCAATATAATCAATTTTTGCAGTCAATTTTTTTCAATCGATTAATGTATTTTAAAATTATGTCCTCGTATTTCATGCAATATTGCATATTTCAAAGCATGAGAAGTTTTTCGCCCGGATACCCGTGCATTGATATCACTTGAACTTTATACTTTAATTTAAAGTATGTTAATCACACATGTAAAACCTAATTAAAAATTATATTATGATTTTATAGGTAACTTCACTTGTCTCGAGGTTGTGTTTGTGCTGAAGCGACGTCTCGGCTATTACTTGTTTCATACCTACGTGCCAACGTGCTTGATCGTCATCATGTCGGTGAGCAGAAACGCGACGCTC